CATTTCTGAGTAAAGGACAAAAACATAAGAAATTAATCTCAAGAGTTCAACAGTTCAAGAATTCCTCCAAACGAAACCAAGAAAATTGATAAATCGGACTTAAAAGAGATTGAGAAATTAAGAGAAATAATGATGCTTACGTAAGTATTTAACTGCCTGATGAAGCTGGAGCAGTTATTATGCTTGAAATACTTCGGCAAGAGCACTTTCGAGAACTCTGATACATTCCAGACGCCGAAGCTGTTGTTCCCGCTGCTCCAAGATACGATTACGACCTCATCGGTCGTCGAATCATCAATCATCAACTCAAGACAGTAACTCAATTTTAGACCACTTAACATATCATATCAAGTTCAACATAACAAAGTATAGTATGTCTAACCTGTTTCAAACCATTCATAATTAAACCACATAACAAAACAAACAAACTGAATAGAAATAGAGTTTTGTAGAGAACCAAATGAAGAGTAATGAGTCTAATTTGATGGTTTATAGAGTTAAAGAAAGCAGATGCACCTAATATCCTAAAAAATCCAAACTCTCAAAACCAAAATTGTTATTTTTCCTATACCAGCTACATCTAAAACAAAATCTGAACACCCTAATCAGAAGAACAGAGAACATATCTATAAAATCCGAACACCTTAATCGATGGCAAAGAACAGAGACATGGTAAAAGATAACATCTATAAGATAACATATCTATGCAAATAAATCCTATGTTTACCATGCAGACATGGTAAACTTGTTGTGATAGAATGGAAGTTGTATAAATTACCGGGTTAGGTTTCTTTTTAGGGACTACATCTCCTGCGAATATCTTGATCTTCCCTGCTCGTTCTGGTCCAAGCAAGCATGAGACTATAGCAGAAACCTCAGATCAGGCAAGAATGAGAAAAAACATCTATTCATATTTCCCTGCTTTCCATAAGATTATGTATATTTCTTGCAACTCAAAAGATTTCGCGTAGTTGAGAACATTCTTGGTAAGAATGCAGCTGCGTATATCTTTAAGAAACTGAAGTAGTAGAACCTTATTGATCATACCGCCTTCTCATTTGAAGTGCTGCACACAGCGACTTTTACTCCATTCGTTAGAGCTTGATCAATTAACTGCAAAATTCCAACAATAAGGCTCAGTTAACCTGAACCTACTAGATCACACGCAACTAATATATCAATAAAATATCTAACAAAAAGCAGGACATGAATATGATTACTAGAAATAACTAGCCTTAAAAACCATTCATAGCATCAGGAGAATCCATCAAATATATTCTAAATTATCTAAAAAGTTCCACACTAAAACTTTTAACAAAATCAATCTCAAGAGAGATATTCAACAAAGACGCTGCATCAAAATCAAGTGACATGCTCAAGAATATAGATAGTGCCCCTACTTGGCAACACCGGGTCGAAAGGGAAGCAGTTTTTTTTTTTCTCAATGAGAACCATGAATAGCTCAGTCTTCTGCTTGTGATGCTCGGCTATGAACACTTTCCTCTCTTCTTCATCCTTTGGAGTTCTCTCTGGCCAACCTACCTTGTTAAAATAAGCAGTCATCGTGCAATAACAAACCATCTCAAATCAAAAACAATTTCAGTTCCACTATCGAAAGATTCACTTTAATTTCATTTCAAACAAGACTAAATTGATAACTTTCATTAACTCCAGTTTTGGTTTTAG